CCTGTGAACACAAGGAAAGGTCTTCCCTGCCCAAGCCAAGGTGAGTCCACTTGACATTATTGCCCCTCCCCCCCCCCCCCCCAAATCAAAGATTATGACGTGCAGTAGCCTTGAAACACCAATATGCACAGTTTGCAAAAGGCAGTTCGAGCCTCCTCTACAGCAAAGGCAATGCGTGCGGCACGAAGCAAGACAACACTAACATGTCCATCTCTGTTCCTCTAAGCCAACCGCCGATCGTCGGCTTGAAAGGAAGGTTGAAAGAAGCCCTTTAGGGTCTGGATTAATGACTGACCCCCCTGCCTACACACTCAGCAATACACACTACACTACACAGCTTAGTACAGAGATCTAGAATAAGAACCAGGTGTTCAACACCCATGCCTAATACTAATAGCACTGCCCCTGTGCTATAGGCTATCATGCAGCCACGGCAATACCCTGAAGGCACTGACAAGAGATAAGCTTGCTGATAAAGCATTCCACAATATGCCCAGCTCTGCACGCACGGCATGGGCCGATATTGGCTTGAGAGTGGAAAATCGTGCAGCCATTGCTTAGCTGTCTTCCAATTATTTGGGACAAAAAAAACTTAGTGTGCACACATGGCATGCGGGTGCATGCACCAAGCTTGCAGCAGCATAGTGTAGAATTCTCAGCATGTCAAGAACGTCGCCCCTGGGCGTGCCAGTTCTAGTCACGTTTCCTCCTGGGGGCCCAGGCATTGCAGTCAGAAAGACGACTCTCTGACACAGGTCAACTATCCACACTGGAGCGTGGGACTCTACAGACGACTAAAACCTAACTAAATTTTCTCCTCTTTTTCACATTTTCTCTGTTCTATCAGTACTTGTGAAGCACCACAAAGGAGCGTACATCAATGAATGATACTGTCACGACAAGAAAACAAAGTCTCTGAGAGGACACATGAGCTTTGAACAAAGGACCCCGACACCAGCATAAGCGTGTGGAGCAGAAACTCCGAAATGTTGAATTGAAATCTGCAGGTCACAGCCGGATACGCGCTTCCAGCAGACATGCCAACATTTCCCATTGCGGCTGCACTGCACACGAATGGAACAGATGGCTCAAGCTCACCACTGACTGAGAGAGCACGAGATAGGGCCAATGAAGCAAAGTGAATAAATCACACGGCGTGCGTGGTTCCCACTGAATTCCTCGCGCAATGATTCTTCACTAACTGTACTTTGACACATTTTCGGTGTACTTTTATTTTCGGTACTTCCGGTGCATCTGTTTCATACCTAAAAGTTCAACAAACCGAATAAATGCTAACACACATAATCCAATAGGGAACTGCTTCTCTGTACCAAAAAATTCTGTTCACCTAACCCGGCCTTTTGCCCTCATACCGAAAATATTGAGCACCGAAAATTTCTGAAATTAGAGTACTTTCCTGTGCAAATAACAATACTCTACTCCAGAATAAATTTTCCTGGTGATTGTGCAAGCGTGAAACTCTGAGTTCCAATACAATTCTGTTCCACATTGATTGCAAATCACACACCGCGTACGGTAGTTCATCACACTACACGGCTGACGGAGCAAAGGAAAACATCGCACCCGACGCCTCGATACAGTAGGAGCGTACCGAACACACGTCTCAAACGCCATGCCGTATGCTGAACCCTAGCCAGCGAATCTCTTTACCCCATCCCCTCCTACACACATGCTCCTGCTCTGCAGATGATTCAAGCATGACTAAGGGAAACTCGGTGGCAATTCAAAACCACCTAACAAGCCACGTGCGGTACAAGCACGAGGTACAGTGTACAACACCCGCCGGTACATAACGCCACGGCATACGACGTAGATTCAACATGCCTTGGGATGGCATGGACCGGGTGGACAGCGCAGTCGGTTTTCAATCAGAGATCAATCAAACTAAACACTGCTGGATCTGGTGTCCTATCATAGTGCACGTCTGCACGTCCTATCACGTCCTATCATAGTGCACGTCTGCACGTCTGCACGTCCTATCACGTCCTATCATAGTCCTATCACGTCCTATCATAGTGCAATGACTACATGTGCAGCTGTGGCCAAAACAAAACCGACACACGAGTCAAAAGCAGCACCGCGTTTCCGTTTCAATGACATCGTGCATGTTCGAATAATAGGGCTTGAAAGTGCTACGTCACAGCATAGCAACAATTTCAAAAATTCAAAAACTGGATCCACTTGGATCCAGTTTTTGCATGGATCCAAGCACATTTCAAGCGGTCTTACCCACAGCATGGTGATGTAGCCAGTGAAACTGACTGATTTGGCTACTGGGGGCGGGGTTACAACTGGTGGCGAAATAAAAGTCACACCTGCATGCGACATGAGTGGGTTGCTATGCACCCACATACTTAGGCAATAGCAAAGTCACACCTTAGTGGATCCAAAAATAGAAATCTGATGTCAACTTACTACTCCCTGGCCGTTTTGACGTCATCACTTTCAAGCCCTATTGTTCTGAGGGTTGCAGGGGCTGCCTGAGCCGTGGCGCTGCTTTCGCCACGTGGGCCAGGTTTGTTCTTTGGCCACAACTGTACATTGATCATCAGTGTGCCTGAACGGTGTCGTTAGGTTTGAAGACGGACAGTACAAGAAGAAGAATGCTGTCGTTGAACGGTCCCTGCTGGGATGGGGACTATATCACAGCTTAGTTGTTAGGCTATCAGCGAGGGTCCCTTGTTCAAATCCTGGTGGTGGAACTCAACCGAGTTCTACCGACTCAACTCCCTCAACATATGAAGAGTATTATCGCCATGTCTTTTCTATGTACCAGGAACAGTAAAACACCTCTAACCCGGACTCCCTAGATCCGGCATTCCCGTATAAAGTTACCGGGCACCTTTCTGACCTCTACAGTCAGCTTTTCAACCAAAAAAAAAAACAGCACCAAAAAATATTGATTGGCATTCAAATGCGGCTACTTGCATGCCATCAGTATGTATGTTTTGAGTTGCAAGAAGGGCCTGATCCCAATGTACCCCGACCCTGGTCCCAATGTACCCCGACCCTGGTCCCAATGTACCCCGACGCTGGTCCCAATGTACCCCGACCCTGGTCCCAATGTACCCCGACCCTGGTCCCAATGTACCCCGACCCTGGTCCCAATGTACCCCGACCCTGGTCCCAATGTACCCCGACCCTGGTCCCAATGTACCCCGACCCTGGTCCCAATGTACCCCGACCCTGGTCCCAATGTACCCCGACCCTGGTCCCAATGTACCCCGACCCTGGTCCCAATGTACCCCGACCCTGGTCCCAATGTACCCCGACCCTGGTCCCAATGTACCCCGACCCTGGTCCCAATGTACCCCGACCCTGGTCCCAATGTACCCCGACCCTGGTCCCAATGTACCCCGATAAGAGGAGTTTGACTGTACAATCATGTTTGATGATCTTTCCCATGTTGTGTGCGTCCATTTCTCCTTCCCCGGCAACTTTGCCGCAAACTACATGATGACATAAGGATCTATAAACCCTTGAAGGCTTTGCAAATATTTACTACATGATAATTATGCCACCTTGACAAACACAGGCAACATACAATCAATCAATCACACAGGACTAGGAGACAGGGGCCAGAGAGAGCTTGGCACAGAGCTATCTACAACCTAGTCAGGTAAGAACAATGCATTGCCATTGCTGGTGGCAGGCTTGCACCGTGAGATCAACCATCCTGAGTGGCTCTTGTTCTCGTCAGCTGACCCAGCCGGGACACCAGACACTGTTTCCCCTTCCTAGTCCACCTTGGACACCAGCGTGCTATGGTGCTGTGTGGACATGCACAGGCAGTGAGCAGGGGAAAACCCCTCACCGCCAAGGCACGTGACTACGGTGGTCCCAGTACGGAGCACGGACACTCACTCGGACAGGCTAGAATTAATTAAATTATTTATTTCACTAAGCACACCAGCATACCAGCGGTGGCCCGAGGGTGCAAATGTATTTGCTTGATGTGTTCCTAAACACATCAGCAGCGAATCCCGCTAACTAACTTTACTTTCTTTACAGCATACAGTACTGTAGATCGCCGAAGAGCTGGGGGGGGGGGGGGGGGGGGGGGGGAGTCAGCCTCCTAGCCTAGGCCGTTCTTATTTTCATGTACTTCAGTCGATGGGCAGTTGAGTCCTCGTGTATACATTGGTATGCTGTGCTTGATGAAATTCTAGCCTGGTCGTTCTTCGGCGCTCCCTTCTTCGGCGCCCAACAGTACTGTACCATTGTATACACGGTGATTAAACTGCATAGTCATTCTAGTATACTGTAGTACATTATAAAATTAATCATGAATATGAGCCATCTAAAAATTAATATGAAGCATCTAGGCTAGGAGGTCTTCTGCACCTAGTCTCTTTCACACAAGTAAACGGCAATCTTTCAAGTCGAATGCTCCTGTTTTATCTGGGTTGGAGGATCCGCAAGAGTTCTCAGTTGGAGGCATGGGATTTTGGGAGGTGGGAAAATCCGTGTGACCGATTGATAATTCTTCTCAACAAAGCTAACATTTGACCCAAGACGTACCACACAGGATCACAGCACAGACAGCTTTCCCTGGCACGATTCACGCAATAAAGGAGAGCGCCACAATTAAACGCCCTCTGTGGCATGCTTCATATCAGCCTACAATGTAGCAGGATCAAAGCGGCGTCAGGGGAATCGCCAGCAGACATGAGCACACGGAAGGTGCTATGCATATGAGCCCCATGCAGTGGCTTCACGTGTCTATCAGTCACCTACCAACAGGTCGCAGAGCCAATCGCACCACAACAAACACGCTACGCACACAACGGATGCACGTGCAGCATTGACAAACAGCCCACAAAGTAAATAATTAATTTCAGTCTATTTTAATATGTACCGTAGTGAGTAAACCTACCATCTAGTCGAACATCAGTTTTTCTGAACAATCCTGCACCTCCACAGCAAATTCTGAACGCGATTTTACAAGACAAACTCAACTAACCACTGCTTGCACTTACCTAATCTTTCCTGGATGGCTCTGTCCAAGTCCTTGAGCACGGATAGAAAGCTGTTCTCCGGTACAGCACTGACGTTGCCCCTGAGCGCCTCAATCCTGTCCACGATGGCGTCCGCGCAGAACGAAGCCACGCTGCAGCAGAATATCACACTGCTCTCCGTCAGTGAGTAGCGCACGCCGTCAGCGTCGCGCCAGGTCGACGGCGCAGCTAGCGCGCACACGTCTCGAACGCGATCGGCACTGACGCACTTGCGAGCGTTCCAGGTCACCAGCTCTCCAGTACCGCTAGCAGAGCCTGCCCCAACAGGCCCCACCTGTACTACGCAGCTAGACGATGTCGGGTATCTGCAGTAGGTCCGCTTGCCGCAGGTATCGCACGAACAGTGTATGGCAGACGAGCCTGCACGGACAAGAAGAAACCGTAACGCAAGAAAGAGAACATCAATCTTCTGCGTTAGCACACCTAGCAAAAGAACAGACGTGTAGATCTACATGCTATTAATGTAGTGACAGATGGGCAAAGCATGGGAGCTAGACAGACCAGGACCTTACGCAAGACCTAAAGTAAAGGCACAGTCCCCTTGTTGATGTAGACTACCGCACGTGGTCCAACAATCTATGACTATGTCTACGCTTACGATTCTCCGCGACAGAAAACACTTCACGAAAACACTTGACCAACGGCGCTGCAAGGGCAATGCTGGGGCAACGGGCGCTTCCCACTTCAGCCTAGGGTGTTTCAAAAATAATACCTTTGATTTTTTTTCTGTCCAAGCGAAGGGTTCAGTGAATTCTTCAACAATCACTACTCTCGACGCCGCCAGCTCGGGTGTCGGCAAACTGCTCTCGATCTCCCGACTTCCAGTGCGTTGCACCAAAGGACAAAGTGAAAAATGCCTGTTCTCAACCTTCCGATCTTTATAAAAGTGCTGGTACGGTGCCAGTTATCACGCCGACGGGTGACTCTAGGATCGCGGAGAGCCGAAACTCGTTTTATGGTTTTCACAACTAGACTAACAAAAAAAGCTAGGCAGTTGCACGTTCACGCTAAATCCGTGACGCTCGCTGCGAACAAGAGCGTCGGATTTGCAAACGCCTTTTTACATGTGACTGTTATGCAGTTACCAGTGACAGAGGACACGAGACATGACAGTCTGTGAACTACATGTATAATATGTAAGCCATGCAGTGGTAGGTCCCACCACAAACGCGTGTACGGCTAGTACATCACGCACGGTCTATAATTATGTTGCACGTGATCACATACTTTAGACTAGTGCTGTTTAGTGTTAGTTACTTCGTATCTGCGTCACACCAGTCGCCACCACATCTGCTCCCGCAACAATCTCTCTGTCTGAGGCGCTGGGCATCACGCCATCAGTACAGTAGCAGACGAGGCTGCCCAAGACGAGCACCGTTTTCATACGCACTCGCAATGATCAAAGGGAGTTGGTGCATATCGATACCCGCATTTTGCTTGTGCACGTGCATGCGACTGTAAACTGAGAAACTCATTGCCATTGGGTCACCATTGGTCACGGTTGACTATCACCCACAATGAGTAGGACTACCAAAATAAACAATAAACAGCATTCGGGCACATATTTTGTCACACCTCTGCAGAGAATGCAGCCATCAGTGTGAAACGAAATACAGACAGTGCACGCCCGCGAATCGTCTTCTACATGTAATCTACGTTCTACCCGGCTCGCATCCAGTGCCAAAAACTGACTGTAGAGCGCTTGCGGAAGCCCACAGCCCTTTGTCTTCCATGATGTGTCTTGGTAGGTCAAAAAGAAAAAGAGAGCGGAGTCTGTCGGAACACCCAGACAAGATTGGCACAACCAGTATGTGTCGAAAGCCGCTGGCTGCGGCACAACCAATGCAGGTTCTACAGATACTCAGACAATCACAATGTGGTTCAAGGAGTTACCTACTATCTGCGCAGTCCACGGTCGGTAGGGGAGCTTAGCTACTGGGGAGTGTGTCTAGAAGTAATTAGTTAGGTGAAATGCTGAGCTAACGTCCCGATATCGACATGGCTTGACACGCGACACATGTCTCTCGGCGCGCGCGTGCTTTATTGTCTTCACGGTCCCAACATGTTAGCACGGCAGAACTGCAGTGGGCATGCAACCTGCGCCAGGCAATGCAAGAAGGAAATGCGCCCAGACACAGTAGCGGAAGTCTGGGTCGAACCCATTCTAATTATCCGACCGCTCCTCGTCCACGTAGCAGATACGAGAAGCGGCTAATTAGCAAGGTCATGATGGTGAAACGCGTATCGTGCTTTAGAAAGGTCCAGTTGGTACAAAAACGTGCGCTTCGAAATCGGTCATCGGCTGGTAGTGGTACATCAGGTAGACCATTGTCATACGACGTGTTCCGTGGCACGAAACTCTTTCCGTCACGTGAGACTTTTTAAAACGTTTTTATAGATGATGATCGCGCGCTACCATTTATTACCAAGCCTATGACTCAGTATGAGTGGGTCGGCACTGCGCAGGTGGTGAAGCCAGACAGTGCTGGCAACTGAAATCCGACCCCTGAGCGGTGCGGTGCGTTCACATTCTAGCGGTCTGTATTTCGTAGTTTTACAACCCCGTGTTGGGTCTTTGCGATGTGAGCGCACCACTCAGGGGGGGGGGGGGGGGGTCGGATTTCAGTTGCCAGCACTGTATAATACATGAACATGGTCCAGTGTTGCCCGCGTGTAGATGATGGCCTGAATGCAACAAAGGAGTTGATGTTGTACTCTCTGTGTATACGTGAGCTTCCTCTTGTTGAGTGGATATAAAAATAAGGCTATTCTGTACAAATCCATAGTGTTCAAGTCCACCTCTAAATGTGCAGATGCGGAAAGGTTACGGATACACACACACAGCGACAGACTCCGCTGCAGCCAGGGACCCACCACGACGGAAGCCCGTCTTGCATGGATGGTGTACACGGATGGTGTTCACGGGGTACAGCCTACAGATCTACCCACAAACAAAATGTGCCTTTCCGCCATCATCTACACGCAGGGCAGGTTGCAAAGCGCAGACTGACATGACATGTACGACAGTCCCCTAGACGGTGATCATCGGAGTCAGTCTGCACCACTAGCTTGGGACACGGGTTGTGCAACAATCACTCTCCCTTATCGCCAGTACAGTCGCTTTGCCTCTCCCTGTCTCTCTCTCTGGCAGTAGATCAGATGCGTGTTTTCCTCTTAGAGATGTCTTGGACGGCACGCACGCGCCTGTCGGTACACGAAATGACGAGCACCAGCCTCCAAGACCGATGGAACCGACCCCTCGAGCACGTTCGTTGATGTTTCTCCGATTGATGCTCACAGACAATCTTTCGACGAAGTCACCGCCGGAGCCGCACGATCAAGCCAGGAGCAGGCAAATGCCAGCCATCTTGAAATAGAAAAAACAATATTTTAAAAAGAAGATAGTCGCGTCTGTGCGAGTATTAGTCATCAACGTATCGACAGATTCGTGTTTTAACCCCAGGGGTTGTCAAAACGGTGCTAACGACACGCACGATCTGTTTTCATACCCGACGATCGACGCATGACAACTACTAGAGAGGTTTTGCAGAGCGAACGTTCGCGCGAATTTTCGTTTGACGTCACGAAAAGCGAAACTTCGTGCGAACGTTCGCAGTTTTGAACGCGAAAGTTGCAGGAAACGCGAAACAAACTTTCGCAGTAATTTTCGCTCTTTGTGGACCGCTGGTCAGCCTGGCCTGCGGCCTGGTGCACGGTGATCTTCATCATGTTTGTGCTTTATCTCTACTCTTCAAAGTCTCTTGGCTTGGTCCGCGAGTGCTAGCTTTCCTATACTTGTGGCAGCCCGTGTTGCTTCATCTCCAGAACCATCTCCGATCTCCTGCTTGCTCGTCTTCTCACTGCTCAGAGTCGGTTACATCAATGATGCCTTTTGAATCTCACGTGTTGATGCACAAGATTACGGCACAAGCCAACCCGACCCGTTTGTCTGTGGTCTCCGGCCATGGACAACGTAGTCAAAGAGCTCTCGTCTCAGGCCGTGACTCAGGGTACCTGGTGCGCGTGCCGCCACTCGCAACAAACAAATAATCGGATGGAGACGACTTCTCAAAAACAAGCGAGTGCACACGAACATTTCTTGGAGCGAGATACATGCAAACTTTCGCAGTAATTTTCGCTCTTTGTGGATTGTTCGTGCACGGTGAGCCACCCTCAGTCCTCATGTTTGTGCTTGATCTATACTCTTGGCTTGGTCCGCGGGTGCTAGCTAGGCTGTACTTGTGGCGGCCCGTGTTGCTTCATCTCCGGGACCATCTCCTGCCTGCTCGTCTTCTCACTGCTCAGAGTCGGTTACATCAACGATGCCATAGATGCCTCTTTGAATTTCAGGTGTTGGTGCGCCAGATTACGGCACAAGCCAACCCGTTTGTGACTGTGGGTCTTCGGCCATGGACAAGGTAGTCAAGGAGCTCTCGTCTCAGGCCGTGACTCTAGGTGCCACCACTCGCAACAACAAAAATAATCGGATGAAGACCACTCACTGCACTTCTCAAACAAGCGAGTGCACGCGAAAATTTCTTGGAGCGAAAAACATGCAAAACACAAATTTCGCGCGAACGTTCGCAATAGTTTTCGCAACCCGGAACGCGAAAATCATTGCGAACGTTCGCTCTGCAAAACCTCTCTACTATCTGCGCGAACTAGAGACAAGAGTCTGTGGTGCTAGGAAGACCACGATAACTCGCAGCACTTCCAGCAGACACTCGTGCGCTCCCGAAGTGCTGACAGCTCACATTTGTTCACACGGAAAATGCGATCACGACTTGTACAGACAGACATTGAGACAAAGTAGATGTGCTGTAGTTACCGTGGATAGCTGTGCTGAACACAAAGAACTGACTGGACGCGGTAGAGCGGAAAGGGGAGAAGATAGCTACCAGCATTGGCACAATACGGTCACGGGTGTTTTTGTCAACGCGATCGTGTTGTTGAAGCGAGGATTATTATTATTATTCTGTACTTCCACGATGTATTATTATTCAAAGGTTGAAGGATGGAAAAGGGTAAGTCTGAAGAAAACATTGACTGTGACCACCAGAACTCGAACCAGGGACCTTCGCTCGAGAAGGGCGATGCTCTAACCACTGAACAGTATGGGTATAGCTGTCATCCATAGACTGTTCAACATTTTTTTCTTCAGAAAGCGAACCACACGCTTCCTGTGACACTACACAGGCATAATATTCATTAGTTCTACAACTAAATTACTTCAAGTACTACAGTAGAGTCGCGCGCTGAAGAACGTGGAGCCCAAGAACGTCCAGCCTGAAATTCTAAGAACGCCACAGCCTAAAGCTAAGAACGGCGGTGTTGGTTTTCTGGAAGCTTGTGGTATACAT